AAAAATGTGGATGTGTAACCGATGTGATTCTGCAACTTGTATTTGGGGTAAAAAATGGGAGTTGATAACCCACTTGAATCAAATGTATGGAAGATGATATGTCATGAGCTTTGTAATGTTTTGAACAACCAATAAAAAAAGATGTTTGAAGAACTTAAATGTAAAAGACAACAGTAGTCAAGTTTTAAGAAGGAAACATAGGGGATTTTTTTAAAGTACTGGAACTAAAAAAGAATTCCCTAACAAGATGTATAATTGGGATTTTTTTTATAAACCCAGTATCATTAAAATAGGACCTTGGATCATCAAATTAGGCTAAAAGAAAAACGAAAGAAATAGCCATAAACAATCTTTTCTTAGTGCTTAGGCAGGAGTGTGCCCTTAGAGGTGAAAAAGTATAATTAATCTTAGCAAAATATATGCAATAGTTCTGAAAGTGAATGAGGTGCAGCTGCAGGCTGTAAAGGCTGATGAATATCAAAACCACAGTGTTGAATAAGAAAAGTAAATCACAGCATACATTCAGTATGATGCTATTCTGTTAAGTTCAAAGTCATTCCAACTAAATAACACAAGGTAGAGTGGTCATATGTATTTTTACATGACCTATAAATAGTAAGGGAATAAAAAATGCATCAAATAGATGCTTTTGAGGGACAGGCAGGGTATTAGGTAATACAATTAGAAGCACTCACAGGGCTCTGAAGGTTTGATCAAGCTCTGTTTCTTAAGTTGAGTGAAAGGTAAGTAAGTGCCTATATGTATTCATTAAGCTGTAAACAGATATCACATGCATTCAATTCATATGCATGTGACATCAATTCACAAAATACTTCTAATAAGTAAACAGCTATGAGATGAACTTCAGAATGTTCAGTGGAGAGACACTGTTCAAACAAATTGGCCTGAGTCAAGTTGTAGATTCTGAAGGAATGTTCACTATTTCTGAGAAGCTCCTCAACTGTTTTTGTTTGTTTTCTGTGATGCTGGGAATCCAACCCAGGGCCTCATGCATGCTAGGTTAGCACTTTGCCACTGAGCTACCCTACCAGCCCAGGTTGTAGAGCATAACATATAATTTGAGGCCTGGGGATACAGCTAGGTGGTAGAGCCACAGGATGCCCTGACTTTGAGCCCCTGAATGGCAAAACCAGGACAAAACCAAAGGGAAAAACTCATACTTCTCTCTGCCAACCTGAGTCCAGAAACTCTCAAAATGTTACTTGAATTTCATCAAGAAAGATAAAAGGTTCCATTGGTAGAGCACCTTTTTTTTCTGTTGTGATGGAAACCATAATTTATACTAATTAATAAAATTTTAATATCTTCTTATAAGGGAAAAAATAATTATGTGTTCATATTTCCAAAGTCATTAAAAATTCAGAACAAATTGGCTGAGGAATAAAATGCAATCAATATATTTTATTCATCTGTGAAAGAGGTATTAATAATAACCCTCTCATAATATATTTTCAATGTGCCCAACTATAATATAAATAATGTTAAGGTAATGTTCAAAGTATTATTAAAAGAAAACAATAAACTTGGAGAAAATTTATATCAAATATTAAGATCCATATGGAAAATGTGTTCCACCACATCAATAAGATGAATAATCACTGGAAAATATGGGCAAAGGAGATATATATATATATATATATATATATATCAGTTGCAGAAAGAAATATTCAAGTTGTTAATAAATATGAAAAATGACCTCATCAACAAACCAAATATGCAAGTGAAAACAATGAATTAAGTGTCTTTATCTAGCAGGTTGCAATGAATTAAATTAAACAAGTAAACACATTAGCATAGTATGAGTCATGATCTAGAGGAACAAACACATGTTCAAGATAACTCTTTCTGGCAAACAATTTTAAAATACCCATTAAAATCTTAAATTGCTTCAATCCAGAAACTCTATTTTTATGAATTCATCTTGCAAAGATATATACTCAAAAGGGCAAAGATGAGTACACAAATCTGTTTATTGCAACAATTATAATAGCAAAATAAAAAGATAAAATATTCTAAAGTTCTATTAATAAATGGATCTGTTAAACAGGAAAACTGCAGCTATTAAATTACAATGTATGTGTGTATACAATGTATATATGTATACATGTATATGCCTATATATACATATTTTTTGCCATATAGGTTACTGAAAACAAAAGTGTATAACAGCATATAATGTGGACTATATGATGTATACATTAAAGGAGACTGAATTATTATTGAAAAGATAGATGCATAGATAGAAGACATATTAAACTTTTAATGATTATATCCAAGAAGTAATATAGATACTAGCAGAAACAAACTTCTGCTTATAAATAATGTATGTTTTTGAGATATATTGACCTATACTGTATTTGATACTGTTTACAGCAATGTTTTATTACTTTTGTAACTTAAAAATATGAATACTATTTTTAAAAGACAATGTTTTTCTCCACAAGCTTAGTCTAGCTGATGAGTGAGACCTGCCAAGAAAAAAGATTAATGCTAGCTCTTTTAATACTACAATGTCACCAGCAAAACAACATGTGACTAAAGAAGCAGTCATTGAGCTGAGCAAAATTCTGGTGAAAGAAAAGATATTGAAACCAACTAATGGAAATGCTGATTCTTATGTTGTACTTAAAGTGGCTTCAATCCCACCTCCTTCCTATCAAAGGAGATTACAACAAATACTAAGAAAATCAGGAAATAAGCCAGTTCACTGTTGTGAGGTACAAAAGGGGAAATGTTTTAATATTAAATTAAGCTAAACTATTTCAGCCAAGTATATACTTTCCATCTTACAATGAACCAAAAGTAGGAAATCAAGTTGATTGCCTTTAAATGAGGGAAACAGGTGTATGACTCACTGTTTCTCATATACACACACTTCCATACACAAATATATAAAATATTCTCCTGAAAGTTTTTCTTCTTTCTTTTTTTTTCCTGTTTTAATCCCTTTAGTTGTTTTTAGGCAAGTGATTTATCACTGAGCTAAAGCCCCCAGCATTTTTGTTGTTGTTGTTGTTGTTATTGAGACAGGGTTTTATTAAGTTGGCCATGTAGGCCTCAAACTTGCAATCTTCCTGCCTCAGTCTCCCCAGAAGTGGAGACTACAGACCTACACCACCATGCCTGGCTTTTAGTTGATTTATAACTGTATACTTGGAGGGTAAGGCCAGGGACTCTGGAATGCATGTGCATGAAGTTTCCTAAAAAGTGTCTCCAATCATGATGAGTATTTCTCATCTGAACCGTATTCCTTTACCTAAAGGCTGCCCCGCAGGTTAGCTGTGACTATTTCCACAGCTAAAATGTGACTAGTAAAAATTAAGGAGCTACTAATGGATTTTGAAGGCTTTGAAAGAGCAACTGTAAAATATCTTGTTATTTTTATATTGATTACATGTTGATAAATCTTTAATACAACCACTTGATAAAATTTAAAACTCATTTTACTTGTCTCTATTTTACTTTTTTTTTTTAATGTGTTTTGACATTTTTCAAACGAAACGTATGACTCACATATTTCCATTAGACAGTGCTGACATGGAGAGTAGGACTGTGGTCAGCAGACCTGACCCGGTCTTTCCTGGCCTTGTGACTTTGGGCAAATATTTTAACGTCTTTGAATCTCAGTTTTATCCTCTGGATTTGGGGGAAGACAGCATACCATCCTGCATGGGCAGTTTGGATACTTTAGTATGCGTATTATAAGAAATACCTTAAAAGTAATCTAACAACTGTTATAATTCTTAGCTGGTGCCAGCTAAAATGCAGCATCTCAGCAGGGCCCACAGGATCGGCTCCCCAGCCACAGCCCAGAGCACTCAGTGTTTGCGGTAGCGTTGGCGAATTCTAGTCCGGCGATGAGAGACTGCCCCCTGGTGGACTGAGTAGGGATGCAGACGAGGCGACCTATGCTCCAGAGCCGCGGGCACCAACCTCTGCGCTCTGCCCGCCTGGCAGTGCCAGGAGAGCTGAAAGATGCTGGAAACTTTCCCCGCCATCCCATTCTTGACCTTCCCGCCGGAAGAGAGTCACCAGCAAGATCTAGCTTGGGCAGTGTCTAGAGTAGGGGGTGCACAAAGTGGGGAGGAGAGCAGGGGGGATGTGCTCAGAAAGACAGTGTGCAGAGATTGCTGAGATCATCCACGATAGCCAGGGGAGCCCCAGGCAAAATTGAGAAATCGGTAATATTTGTTAGGTGCAGGGCTGTCACAGATACCTAATGTCTGGCTTGAACCCAGGGATCATTATGCATGCGAGGCAGGCACTCTACCAACTGAACTATGTCCCCAGCCCAGGACACTGCTGTTAATAATGATACTACCTTTAAATGTCTCATTGAGGCCATTGTTATCCCCATTGTGGAGAAGGAAAAAATGGGCATGGGAAGGGAGCAGGTATAAAAAGACCTTGCCACCTTTATTGCTTATAGTTTTCAAACAAAAGCTGAACCTCCATTTTCCCCAGCTCATTTACCTTTCTATGGGGATATAGTCAAATTCCTAACCCCATCGGACCTCCTTTTACTCCAGGAGTCAATGGAGAGTGCCCTGCGTGGTGACCATCATGTGGGACTATTACAGGGTTAAATGATGTCAAGTAAGCAGGCGGCCTTGATAAAACAAGACTGTAAAAGTTGTCAAAAGTGACTCCTATGAAATAAATTATCTCAATCTTAGGAGCAATTTATTCTACAATATTCGAACCAAGCAGTAGCTTCAGCAATGGAGACCAGAGTCTTTGGCACAATTGAGCGGATAATTTAGGGATTCAGGTAGGGTAATTGGGTACTTCCTTAACAATACCAAGTGGGTTACCTCCCATACTGAGTGTCCTAGGATCTGGGAATAAATAAATGGGCATGAAGGCTATCGGCTTCTTCATTGAAATCTAACAGGCTTCCTTACACCTTTCAAATCACAGGACCCTGTACCTATCTCCCACCCTCACAGCTGTTAATCTTTGGAATGTCTCTTGAACAGATGCCCCTCCTGAGCTGCCAGTTCCTAAAGAGTTACCGGCAACAACGCTTGGCCCATTTAGTCCTGAGCTCCATTACCATGGGATATGTCTGGCAGGAAGGAGAGACACAGCCTAAAGAGGTAAGAGGCAGACAGATGCCTGTCCTATCACCTGCCTGGTCCTCTGCACCTGGGATAAGCTCTCTGCTTGGTACTATATTTTTTAAAGTGTACTTTCTTATTTATTTTGTGGGATATCAGTTGAAGGAGAGGAAAAGAGACAATTTAAATAAAGAATTACTTTTTTTTCCTGGTAGGAAGCTAATATTCTTTTAGACTGATAGTCATATTCCCTTTTATTAATTAGCCTTTGAGATTATTTTCTCTGGCACTTTCCTCCATGAGTGTGTAAAGAGCTGCATTTGAAGACATCCTGAAAACACATTGAAGACTTACAGCTGTCTTATACTCCTAAACATATCTGTTGTTTTGGATGCTTTTTTACAATCTCATAAATATGTAGGGTTATACTATGTCAATTTTACAAACTGAGGAGCACAGAAGTTAAGTCCCTTGTCCAAAGTCAGAGAGCAAATTAGTAGAAAAGCCAGGGCCAGAACCTGGTTCTTCTGATTTCCCTCATGGAGCCTTCTTTTCCCAGAGGGACACGTTGACATTTATAACACTGATCTTTATGTAGTAATGCTGTTTAGGCTAATTATAAGCCTATCTCTTGATAATTTATCTGTTCTTTTCTGATATTTTGCATAAACTTTTATAATTACAACATGTACTTTGGGACATAAATTCCTGGGCTCTACTACCCATCTTCTAAACTAATATTACTTTTCATTTCTTATAAAGATCCTTATTCCAGAAATCAAAAAGTGTTCCATGTTCTAGAAAACACAGTTAAGTGAACAGCCTGTGCCCAATTTGTCTGCCCGATTGATTCTACCTCTTATTCCTCCCCAAAGCACAGGAAGGAGCCCTAGGGACAAAGTGTAGAGCTGCTTCGGGGTTTTTATGATGTACATCTCATTTTGAAAAAGTTGTATGTCTGAAAAATTTGAAATCTAGGCACATGGACATGCCAATGAGGCTCTCTATGCTATCTTCTCCCTAAATCACTGTCTTAAAGTAGGGGGAGAAGTAGTCAAAAGGCAGGGGGAGGCAGTCTCCAGCCTACTGCTGTATCCATGTGGTTTCAAGCCACCCCACAGGGCTCCTCATTTCCAGACCCCAGACCTGGCCTTCGGTCATCTCTTACTGTTTTAAAATGTTCTTATTAATACATACTGATTGCATGAATTATTGGGGTTCATTTATATTTCCGTGCATTGTCAAATTCAACCTCCCTTTTCCCACCCTCTTCAAAATATCCCTTTCAATCCATATGAATCACTATTCTGTTTTGAGTTCCAGTTTTTTGGTTTTTTTGGTTTTTTTTGGTAAAGTTTCCACATATAAGAATATGTGGCACTTGCTTTTCTGGCTAATTTCACTTAATATAATGTCCTCTGATTACATATATTTTGCTCTTATTAGAGGATTTCATTCTTTTTTTGGGGGGTGGGGGGTACTAGGAATTGAACTCAGGGGCACTCAACTTCTGAGCCCCAGTCCTATTTTGTATCTTATTTAGAGACAGGGTCTCACCGAGTTGCTTAGCACCTCAATTTTGCTGAGGCTGGCTTTGAACTCATGATCCTCCTGTCTCAGCCTCCCCAGTGGCTGAGATTACAGGTGTGCACCACCACACTCAGCAACTTCATTCTTTTTTATGGCTAATCCACTATTTTGTATACATACCACATTTTCTTTATCCATTTCAGAGGCACCTAGGCTGATTCCATACCTCAGCTGTTGTGAGTACAGCTGCCATGTGCAGATGACTCTTGTGCAGATGACTCTTTTTTGTATGCTGGTTTCATCACCTTGGAATATATATAGCTAGGAGTACTTTTAGTTTTTGAGGACTCTCCATACTGGTTTCTAAAGTGGCTGTGCCAATTTGCATTTCCAACAAGAGTGTACTAAGATTCTATTTTCTCCACATACTTACCATAATTTGTTATTAGTTTTATTTGTTTATCTATCTATTTTGATAATCACCATTCTGGTTGAGTTGAGATGGCATCTCATTGTGGTTTTGATTGCTTTTTCCTCATGGCTAATGACATTGAGCATTTTTCATATTTGTGTTGACCATGTATCTGACTCCTGTTGTCACTCCTGCCCTTGCCTTCTAAAGAAAGTGTTCCTTAGAGTTTCAAAATTCAAAAGTCTTTATAATTTTTTATCTAAAAATGCTGTACCAAATCTACCTAAAACTCCAAGTTAAAAAAAACAACAAAGTGAAGTAGAGCTTCTTTAACAGATATTTCTATCTTAAAAGAATATGAGGTGAGGAGATGAGGAGCATACAAATGTTTTTTTTTTTTTTTTTTTAATTTGGACTAATCTAACTTTAATTTAAATAGAGACTCCCATGGATCTGAGTAGCTTTTCTGGGATGTAAGCAGATAAGGCTCTGTGGCATCTGTTCAAGAGAACTCCAAAGATTAACAGTTGAAAAGGTAGAGAAGGGGATAGGGGTTCCGTGACTTGAAGGATCCCTTGGGTGTAAGGAGATTAGGTGTATTTTAATGATGTCATACCATGAGTAATGGAACCAGGGACTTCATATCTCAAAGTGTAGGTTGAAACTACAAAAAATTATGCAAAGAGTCAGAGGCTATAGAAGAGGGTAAATAGTGTCTGTCCAGAAATGGTTTATTTGAAAGTCATTATCGGGTTTGACTTAGGAAGTGACCAACAGACTTGGTTTCCACACAGACTGAAATGTCTGTCTTTCTCACTCTTATCCAGTGTGCTCTGATCTCTCTGATTGACACACAAACACACAAGCACATACATGTATTTCCATCTATGTGTATACCCGTATCTAGAGGTCTAACTATCTGTTTAGAGAAAGAGTTTTTCCCACTGCTAATTTATTTAGCTCCTGCTTTAGTACTGTTTTTTTGCATAGCCAGTTTCTGAGGTTAGTAATTTTCATACATGTTGCAGTGTGTACTCATAAACAGTGCTGCCACTAAGTTACTGTTCATGGATATCTGCATGAAGCATGTGAATAAGGATCACCCCGCTAATTCAAATGTGATCCTCAAATCATTTCTTGACCACAGGATTGCTGGAATAAAAGACAACCGTAGGTATTTCCTCTGCCACATTCTTCCTAGAATGTGATATTTGTCTGGATTTATATTTGAAAGGTGCTGCCAAGAAATCTTGCCATTCCCTTTGTTGAAGTCTCCAGGAACTTGGGGCTCCCTCCTATCCTGGTACACTCAGACTTGGTGCTGGCAAACTGGACGAAAAGGAACTCAGAAGGGTAAGAAAGGGAGAGAACATTTCGGATTTTGAAACTCAGTAAAAGGTGGTCTTAAAACTTCACCTCTCTCCACAAGGAAAGTCCAGACTTTTTGGTTCCTTTATCATTAGGGATGTTCACATTGATTGTCTGTTTTTGTGGTTTCAAAGATTAAACTTGATCATAAGTGTCCCCCAAATCCACTCTGAATACATGGCCCAAACCACTTTTCTTGCTGTTGTCACATCATATCTAAAATTTTTAACCCAACCTTCGAGGTCCTGTATAATCTTACTTTATTCATTTTTTTCTAATCCTACTTCATTTATTTCTTCTCATTAAATTGTTTCTTCCCTGATATGTCCTCCATTGGAGTCAAGTTAGAACCTTCAATAAATGATCATTATACAGTGATCATAAAATAATGATTGTATGTGATTCGAGAGTTGGTGATCTAGGTATGTTAGACTGATAATTTGATTAATAATGTCATCAATTCTACCTAACACATCACTTTTTGATAATTCTGCTGGGAATAAAAGCTTTTGTCTGTGGAAAAAATAGCATGATTTTGTAACAAATAAGAAATCCAGTAGTCAGAAATGAGTGGGAGAGAAGTATTAAATTTCCCATTGAACTTTTATTTTCACAGACAAATTTATTTCTGGCTATAGATGCAAGATATAGCACTTTTGTGATAGATTAAAATATCTGAAGAGACATTCAGGTTGGATGTGAGGAAGAACTTCTTCAGCACAATGGTTGTAGGTAGCCAAGGATTCCTAAAGGAGAGAATGGGACTCAACTGTAAAGGAGTAAATACTTAATATACAACTTAGCTTTTAGGTTAATTTATATCCCCATTGGAAGAAGAATCAATGGGTCATCTCAGGTCTCTAAGGACCTGGAAATTTGTTTTGTTGAATAATTACATTTTAATTTTGACCAATTATGCTTTAATAACAAAAGTGGTGATCATTGAAAATAGCAAAATCTAACTTAGAGTTTGGGTGGGAAGAGATAATGAATAAACACACATGAATTATTCTTGTCAATGCATTGGATATTGAATAAGGTGAATTTACAATCCAGAAAAAAGAGTGGAAACAAGAAGATTAAAGGGAAAAATGGCAGTACTGGATTGGGAAAGTCAAAAAAAGCAAAATAAAAGGCTGACGTCCTACAAAGTGAGAGTATTGGTCTTATTTAACCCCAGATAAGCAGGAACAGTCCTGGGCTTCCTCACAAATGCTTGTTGGTACATTTTGAAGTCTTTTAATATGCCTAGCACAGAGCTAAGTGCTTTGAATAAATGAAAGACATAGTAGTTAAGGACTTCCAAAGTGGTTAAATAATGAGACAAAGCAGAGCATGACAAATGTCAAAGGGTGACACAAACAATATGTTTATTGGAACCACACAGTGGTTCCTAGTCCAGTCATAACCAACAATGTGCAAGATGTGTGTCAATATATGTATTAGTTGTATCACACACGAGTGTGTGTTCCTGGGTACATGTGACCCTAGAAGCTATATCTGGTTTACAAACTCAATTGTTTTTTTTTTTCTCTTTCTTCCTCTTGGTGGTTGCCAATAACTGAACTTTGGCTAGACCCCTGGAAATCAGGTAAGTTGTCAGAAATCTTTTACTCACTTTAGAATCTAAGCTAAATTTTAAAGCTTAGAATAGAACATGAACATCCCAATTTATTTGTATTGCACAGTATCGACTATATAAAAACACATAAAAAAGATAAAAAAGGAAATATGCCAAAAATTTACAGTCCAAAAGTTGGAGATGGTTGATTTTGCCTTGTAAAAATGAGGAACTTACTTTTCTTTATGTCTTGATTTTCCAATCTATGCATAATAAAGCAAGTAAAGTGCAATAGAAGGAAACAGATTTAAAAAAGAACTTTACCAAGTATATGACTCTTTGAAGTCTAATACTCTGAAAAATATTTCTGTCTCACAATAACTTCTACGAAAATCAAATTGTAGGCAGATTACACCTATAGAAGAATTCCTTTGAAACATCTCATTATTATATGGACTAGAGCTCATGGGGCAGGTATGGCCAAGACATTCTTAGGCTCCACTTTCCCTAAAAAGTAAAGCTATCTCTGAAGCCACTGTTGCTTCTCCCATCCTCAGACCTCAGCCTCTATTAAAGAGTCCAGAATAAAAGCTGTAGTTCAGGAGGTAGGGGGGTGAAAGGTGAAAATATCACTCCCCACGCTAATGTAACTCTGTTGAATAATGCAATTCCTGTCTTAAGTTTTGTTTTGTTCTCATTTGGTTTCTTTTGCTCTGTTCTTAAGGTGTGAAAGACATCTATGTTACAATAATCTTTGGAGTTAACTTTATAGGTTTTGTAGACTGGATCGACATCTGAGATATTTGAATCAATCTAAAGGACAACTGGTCATTTTTTAAAAAAGATGTATTCCTCTGTAATGGTCTTACAGCTTCTGGTATATTGCATGGCATTTAGTTCCAGATTAAAAGGAACACTGGTCTGGTTATGTGCTATAGGAGTTATATGTTGACCCTGAACAAGCCATTTTGTGTCTCTGGACCATAATTTTATATCTGTAAGAAAGGAGCATGGTTACCCCAGCTCGAAGACTCCTTATCTTTGGACAACAATGATGTGATCCTCAAGAAACAGCTATACCTTTAGCTAAGAACTGCCTATCCATATTTCACCTGGCCATTCCACTGGGTTGATAGTCCAGGACCATCAGGGCCATGCTAAACTTTGAGTGAGAGTCCTCAGGTAAGGTTAATTTGGATTTGAACGTATTATTCTCATTCCTCCATGATGCTGCTGAAGATAGATACTCATCCTCAGGTTTGTCTTAAGGAGTGGAAAACATGTTTTCCTGACTGTATCTGTAGTAGGCTACTTGGTGGAGACCTATGGCACTGAGTACTTGTAGCACAGTGTCCACCCCTTTAACCATGTGACAATCTCCTTCCCAAGCAACCTGGACACCATCATCCTGTTTCCTGGGGGAGAGAGTCTGCGTGGCTTCATACTGGTGACTGTTTTAGTGGAGAAAGCAGCTGTGCCTGGAATTAAGGTATCTTCTCACTTTATAGCCTTTTTTTTTCTTTTAAATTTGAGAAATTAGTCCGAGATCACTCTCTCCAACCCCAGTTCCTTTCCCTGAAGTAGATTTCTCAATGTAGATGAATATTAACCTTGTCCTACTTAGTTCAAATCTGAGAGAAAAGATCTCAACTCTAGTCCACAGTGTTAGCTTCCTTTGCTTAACTGCTGTAAAACTTGGAGTAGATAATTTCTGTATGCATCACTCTAGGAATGGGAAATCAAGGCAAACAAGATGGAAATTGTTCCAGCCTTGATGGAAGCACAGGATCTAGTGGAGGGAGATGGATTAATATAGGGTGAGAAGGAGAAAAAATGTCATGTTTCATGAAAAGACAAGTCTAGAGTTAAAGGATCAGGCAAAGCCTCCCCAGAGAAATGACAGCTAAGTTAATACCTGAATGATGAGAGAGAGAGAGAGAGAGAAATCAAGAGCACACACAAATATATTCCTGGCAGAAAACATTGCTATATAGCCTCAGAGAAAAATGAAATGAAATGTATTTTATGTATTTAGTGCCAGAAGGCAGCATTAAGATGACCTTGCCCTGGGGATTGCAGGTTTGAATTTTTTTCAGGTATCCTACATGTATCAGAAAAGGCTGGGGGAGCTTTAGAATTTGTCTGATTTTTATCAAAGACAGAGCTTTGGAGTTAGGATGCCCTAGTTGGCAATATAGTAGAAATGAACATAATGTGTAATAAATCCAAAAGAAAAAGGAATAAAAATGATAGAGCTTAGTCTCTTCAAGATGTATAAGGAGTAGCAGCCACTAGAAAGAATCAGAAAAAACCTAACCAGGGTTCTGTCTGAAAGGTGCCAGAAAGATTCTGGCTTTCAATAGACTTCATGGCAAATCTCATTTTAAGAATACTCCCAGGAAGATGTGACAATCTAGAAGTTTGTGGGGTGCCTGCCCCTGGGTTCCCCAGCCATGGAACCTCAGTGGGCTTTAAGAGAATGCTGGCAAACAAAGCAATCTCATCCCCAGGCACTTGCTCAAGCAATGCATGCTGTCCTGCAGCCCAGCCAGGATGCCCTGCTTAAGGCCCTGCAGCAACTGAAGCTCTGCATCCAGGACATGACCAGAACCTTAGGACGAATGCATGGTATAATGCCCCCTTGTTTCTGAAGGATCCAAGAGGTTGAAGGCTCTGCAGATGGGAAAAAGGGCCTAAAGTTTGGGCACATCCAAAATAGGTGAGGACTGATCTTTCCACAAGATGGCGCTGGTGCACTATATTTCTTTTAAGGTAGAACTAATTTTGCTGTTCTAACAGAGAATGAGTCTGTAGAGGCATTTTCACAGTTTTGCCCTTCTTTCTATTTTCCAGGGATTAGCATAATTTCCTCTCTTCAGAGACCAGATATAGTTTTGGTCTTGTAGGAAGCTTGGGAAGAGCGGATGGGCCAACCCTGTAATATTGGTCTTGTGTGCAGTAATTAGAATATATCAAAGCCATTGAACCCCAACTTAATTTCAATTTTTATTTACCTTAAGTCCAATTTTATCATGTTTATGGGTTAAGTCCGAAAATAGACATTTGTATACACAAAGAGCTCACAAAATATTGAGGATTTTTATCAATCTTTAGAGAAGACTTCTTAGAGACATGAAAACTTAAATTACATATCATACATCAAAACTACATAAAAATCTACAATAATTATTATAATTTTATATGGTTATAATTTACTTTGATTTGCTTATTTATTTACAAACTTTTAAAATCTTCACTCCTTTTGTTGCTGGGGATTGAGTCCAGGGGCAAGCGCTCAACCACTAACCTATATCTCCAGACCTTTTTAATTTAGTTTTGAGATCAGGTGTTGCTAAATTGCCCAGGCTGGGACTCAGTCTCCTAAGTAGCTGAGCACAGGGGTATGTGTCATCTCCCCAGCTTGCTTGTCACTCTTTAAACATATTTCTTTCATCTGAAGCACATCTCTTAGGATTTCCTCTAGTGAGCAGCTGCTATGGCTAAACTCTTATGTATTTATTATTTATTTGGTCCTGGGGATTGAACCCAGGGACATTCAACCACTGAGCCACATCCCCAACCTTTTTTACATTTTTTATTTAGACACAGGGTCTCACTAAGTGCTTACGGCCTCAGTAAGTTGCTGAGGTTGGCTTTGAACTTGTGATAATCCTGCCTCAGCTGCTGAGATTACAGGTGTGCACCACCACGCCCAGCTAGATAAATTCTTCCATCTAAAATTCACCTGATTTTTCTTTATCTGAAAAATAGTTTTGTTAGCAGTTATATTCTTTCAGATGTTAAATATATCAGTACAGTAACTTCAGGTTTCCCTCATCACTGTTGAGACATAGCTTTCATTCCATCTTTCTCCCTGATTGCTTCTCAGAGCTTCTCTGTGTTCATCTAACTTCTTTGGTGGTTGCTGTTTGTGTCTTGTTTCTTTTCTTTTCTTTTTCCAGTGGGTTCTGTCAGTTGGTCGTCATCTTTTCTTGCGTGTTGATTTTTTTCTTTTTCACTATGCAATGCTGATTATCCATGAAACAATATTTGCAAGCAGTGTTTTGAGACTGGAATAATGAAGCATTTGCATTTAGTTCTTCCTGGTTCTTGGGAACACTAACATCCTGAACCACCTTGATTCAAATCTGGCAAACGAGGGCCCATATACCAATCAGGAAGTTGCACTGGGGCTAAATCAAGTAAACTGTGGTTACAACTTTGCAGGGACTTTTTTTTTTTTCTTAAATATTGTTTGACTCAGTACCAAGGTAATTCTCGTTTTGTCTCCTGGGGCAAGCAGGAGTGAGGTAGGAGGTTGTGTTTCTTACTGAACTTGAGGATACTGGCATCTGGAGCTCTCAGCTTAGTATGAAAAGTCTATCATGTGAAATTTGTCACCATGGCTGGGCCCAAGTCCTTGTTTCTGGCCCCATTACACAGAGAAGCCACTAAAACCAAGCCACATTGTGTCAGGATTGGACAAAGTGGTTGTTCACTGAGTCCCTGTTTCTGTCTGGTAGTTCTGTCTGGTAGTTCCTTGCTGCTATCACAGATCTTAGATGTCTTTTAGATGTTTTTATGTTTTATTCAGAGTTTTTGGTTGTTTATAGTAAAAAAAAATAGGTCCAATTCATAATAGCACTCCATTATACAACTGGAAGTCTCTTTCTTAAATATCATTCATATCTCTTTCTTTATTTGTTTTCATACCAACTCTTGCATGGACTTCTGCTGTAACTTTCCAAATCCTTTTCATCATCTACTTTTACCTGGTCTAATTCATTGTCTACACAACACCTTGAGTGAACTTTTAAAGTGTAAATCAGGCTGCATCACTTTTGATCTTAAGATTCTGAGTGTCCATGTGGGCTCTGTCCTATACAGTGGCCTCTAGCCACATGTGGCATTTGAACACTTGAATGTGGTCAGTATGATTGGAAAACTAAATTTTGGGTTTTAATTTGAATTCAATAAAATTTAAAAATTGAATCAGCATAAAACAATTTTCAGTTAAAAGCCCTTTTATTATGACAAAGACTATATTTCACCTAATTATTGAAAATGTGGCATCCAAAACCAAGTTGACTTGAATGTAGAAGAGTGATTACTAGAAGTAGGAAAGGCTGTGGGTGGTGAGAATTGAAAAAGGGAGAGTTCAATTGATTGGTGCATGCTGGGTATTCGTATAAAAATATCATATCAGACCCCACTAATATGTACAATTAATTCCTGTTAATCAAAAATCAACTAGTTACTAAAAAATAAAATAAAATAAAATTTAGCATCCAAACTAAATTTGCTGTAAGATAGAAGTGTGAGTGCATGCACAGAATTATTATAAAAAAAAACCCATGAGTAATTTTTATACTGACTAAATATTGAAATGATAATATCATGGATATTTGGGGTTAAGTAAAATATACTATTGATTTTAATCTTGCTTAATTTTTTGAAATGTCACAATAAAATTTAAAATTCTACATGTGGATCGTACCACATTTCTATTAAATAGCACTAGTTTACCCTAGGGATAAAGCCCAAATCCTTAACCTTTTCTCTAAGACCCTTTTCTGATATGACTCCATGCTGTTTCAATTTTAATCTAACTTTGTTTGCTATCAAGTTTCTCTTGGTACCTTTTTCTGTTACTAGCTTTTAGTTACTGAAAATAACCTTATTTCTTCTATTTCAAGGTCTGTGTTCTTGTGTTCTTGCTTTTGCCTCTGGCCAAACACTTTTTCCTACTCACCCTTCTCCTAGTCAACTTCTGCTTATATATCAATCCCAAAATTACTTTCTCTGGAAGAACCCTGGTCTCATCCAGGGCCTGAGAGCTGCTTAAACCCTGACAACTTTGCTATCAAACCTGGGAAGAGAGGAAGAGGCTGAAGCAATGATGGAAATAGGAGAAATGAATGAAACATTAAAAAAAAAAAGACTGAGGATGGGCAAAGTTTAGGTACATTTAGTAGCAGAAATAGGTATCAAATATGTATGTATAATTTCAAATCTGGATACTAAAACAAAAATCATGATGCCTTTGGTAAAGATCTATCATTTGGTGGATGTAATCAAGTTCTGCTTGGTTGGTTGTTTTTCAGAGTAGATGGGGATTCACAGGAAGGATGCTAAGTTTAATTGGTGATTTCTTACATTTTGCAATAATTTTCTCAGATTTGGGCACTGGATAATGGTCATTAGCGATTCAAGTGGTTGGGATTTGGTGAAACAGTGAAGCAAAAGGAAAAAATAAACCAAAATGCTGCTAGATATTAGAGTTAATTTGTGAGAAGATTATGACTCAAAATATATTGATAGCTTAAAAATAAAATATATATATATATACAAATATATACATCTTCAAGAGATTGAGAATAGCAGTAAGGTCTGAAACGTTTGCTCAATAATTAAAGAGAATATTCTACATAAAATGTTCTATAGAAGTCAATAAATTTGACAAGGGAAAGTGGCATCGGGAACCTGAGTGTCAGAAAAGCATACTGTTTCTTCTCAACCTTGTTGTACTTCTTAAATTGTGTACCAAATGCATGTATGACCTAGTCTCAATAATTTACTTTCTTAAAAATTAAAAAAGGGAGAATTTAAAAAATACTCATTAAACTTAAGGTAATGGTGGGACATTCAGTGGAGATATATGGCTTTCCAAGGTACAGCTTAGTGGTCAAGACCCTGGAAAGTGGAGTCCAATCTCCTAGAGTGGCCACCCTCCAAGCCTTGCCTTCTGAGTTGGCCAATAGAGCACTGGCCACATCACGTGTCTCAGTGGGATTGTAGTGAACATGCATACAACATGACAATACTGCAGTCATTCTGGGTCTATGGTTTTTGTGACCTTGACCTTTTTGAATTCTCTTTGTTTAAAAGCTTCTTCCCAGCATAAAACCCATTATCTCTACTCCTAAAAAGCTTCAAAAGCAGGTTTCCTTGGTTTTATCATCATTGTCACCATCACCAATATCATCATAATGTTTATAACGTAAAAATTTTGATGAGCTTCATGCAAATTGATCACAACCACATAGGTTTTCTGGAGATTCACATGAGTTTCAAATGAGATATTTAACCAATGTTTTATTTGTTTGTTTATTTATTTTCAATGCTGGGGACATAACCTGGAGACCAGTAGCTTAGTGGGTGTGAGGCAAGCACTCTACTACTGAGCTACATCCTTAGCCTCCTATTTTGCGCATTGCTGAACAACAACAGAAACATGGGAAGATATTTATCCAGGCACTGAATGCACCTGGGAGTGCGATCTGAGCAGAAGCCTTAGACCACAATGCCATTTTCCCACTCTGCTAGGAAGTCATTTGGAAGGGGTTCTAGGAAACACCCTTCTCAGCCAAAAGATACATATTGACCCAAGGCACTATGTTGGTAGAGGAAAACTTACCTACTTGGGATCCCTTAGACAGTATTTTGTTTGGAATAGTCCCCCCCTCCCAAATTGCTTAAAATTTATCCCAGAAAATCAACTGGGTGGTAAAAACAACAAATACCAGATTTTGAATCAACTCTGAACCTACTAATAGCCTTATATACTATAAACACTAAGTTGTTTTCTGGAAAAAAAAAGAACAAAATATTTAATGTATAAACAAGATAAAATATATGTATTGTCCACAACCCAGTTGTGGTAAAGCAAATGGATAGAACAAAACAAGATACCCAGAAATGGCACGTAATACATAAGGTTTACTAAAAACTGCTTACAGTAGCCTCAGACTGGATAGATAGCACCTCTGTCCCTCATGAGGCTTTGCCAGAAAGTAGTGTCTCTGTCTGTCAAGACACTTTTTCTAGGGGTAGCTGGCTGGACTAGAGTACATCTTTCCACAGTGGTCTGTTCTGCACCAGTTCCTACAGGGACAGGGGTTAGGTTACATAGGCAGTGACATCCTTAGATTGCTCCATTCCATTTGTATGACCAGCATCCCAAGGAGCTTAGCGTATGTGCAAGAAAGTGGTTCCTACAGATAATGCTAGTTTGCCCCAGTTCCCAGTGCATGCGAGAACAAGTCAGTGTTCTTCAAGATAGTGCTTATCTGGACATTCCAGTGTGGGCCTGCATTCATTTTCCCTTGACTTGGCCAGGTTCTTGGGAATGGAAAGTGGCATTTTGGGGACATGGTGTTTTGCTGGCCGTCTTTTTTCAAGGATGAAACAACATAAAATTGAATATATAGAATAAAACCCTCATGCCCAGCTTTCAACTTAAAAAGTGGACTGTTACCTAAAACTTTGAAACCTTCTAAATGCTTCCTTTCAACTTCATTTCCCCAAAACATTTTTCCTGTTGTCAACATGTGGATTACTATATTAGTCGTTCTCTTTCACTTCTGTAAATTTTTGTTATGAAAGTATTTCATAACAGTACATTATTTTACATGCTTTTGAACCTTAAAAAAGAAGAAGAAGAATTAAGATGTATGTTTTCTTCCCGAATCCTGACCATTTCACCAAGTGCCTACCTTGTAGGTCATATAGATTTAGTGCCTGTCACTGTTACATAGCAGGTTTTTGTACAACTAGACTATAATTTACTTATTTTTTTCTGGGTTATTCCTCTTTATTGTTTGTTTATTTTGTGTTTTTTATAATTTTTTAGACTTTGATGGACCTTTATTTTATTCATTTATTTTTATGTGGTGCCAAGAATGGAACCCAGTGCCTCACACATGCTAGGCAAGGGCTCTACCTCTGAGCCACAACCCCAGCCGCTGTGTTTGTTTTGCTATTAAAAGCAATGCCACTACAAGTATTCATGTCCATAACTCCTGGTGTCTGTACTTAAGAGACTACTATCTCTAAGGTAGATGCCAAGGAGGTGAATTGCACAATAAGAAGGTATATACATCTTCAGTTTTACTAACTAGCACCGAATTGCCCTCAAAGCAGTTCGGTGCTAGTTAGTAAAACTGAATG